CTCCACCACGCGCACTGCCAGCTCACAGCACCGGCACCGGCGCCCGCTGTCTCGCGCACTGCCAGCGCCCAGCGCCGGCACTTATCTCCAACGCGCACAGCCAGCAGCGCCAGCAACCTGTCTCCACCACGCGCGCAGCCACCTCAAAGCACCAGCGCCAGCACCCAGCACCAGCAACCTGTCCCCACCACGCGCACAGCCAGCTCACAGCACCAGCACTACCACCGGCACCCAGCACCAGCGCCCGGCACCACCACCACCACCGGCACCAGCAACCTGCCTCCACCACGTGCACAGCCAGCTCACAGCACCGGCACCGGCACCCGGCACCAGCCACCCGGCACCCAGCACCAGCAACCACATGCACAGCTCACAGCACCAATCACGGGCACCCAGCACCAGCACCGGCACCAGCAACCTGTCTCCACCAAGTGCACAGGCAGCTCACAGCACCAGCACCGGCACCCAGCACCAGCAACCTGTCTCGAAAGCGCGCGCGGGCAACTCATTGTTATTTGAAGTAAGAACCCCAGGCCCATATATAGCTTCGCTATCTGGGGAATGAAGTAAGAACCCCATAGCTTCGCTATCTGGAGAAGAAAATTATGGGACCGGATAAAACAATTTCACCAGACACAGGAGCGGACAATTGGTGGTTGGTGGGTGACAATTTGTTGGTGGCAATTGGTTGATGACAACTGGTTGATGACAATTGGTTGGTGACAATTGGTGGGTGACAGCGGCGGAGACCCAGCAGCCCCGGCCAGCACCGGGGCGTGCATCGGACCCGCTGGAGAACACCAAAGTACGGCTCCTGCCACGCAATCACAGCAGCACAGACACAAATGCTAATTGGTTGGTATCAATTAGTTGAGGACAATCGGCTGATGACAATCGGTTGATGACCATATGACCATTGGTTGGTGACACTTGGTTGGTAGCAATTGGTTGATGACAATCGGTTGACAACAATTGGTTGGTGCCAATTGTTGGTCGCAAGTGGTTGTGCCAATTGGTTGGTAGCAATTGGTTGGTGACAATCAGTTGATGACAATTGGTTGGTGACAATTAGTTGGTGGCAATTGGTTGGTAGCAATTGTTGGGTGGCAATTGGTTATAGAGTTATAGATGACAATTTGTTGGTGACAATTTGTTGGGGCAGTTGGTTGATGACAATCAGTTGATGACATAATTGGTTGGTGACAATTAGGGTGGCGATTGGTTGGTGACAATTGGTTGGTGGAAACTTGTTGGTGGCGATTGGTTGGTGGAAATTTGTTGTTGACAATTGGTTGGTGGCAAGCGGAGGGCGGGAGGAGGAGGCGGAGCGCGGGGCGGATACAACACTAAAACAAAAACCCGACAGGTCGATGTCGGGAATGAACATCTGGATGTTCATTTTATAGATGCCTCTTCTTTCTGCTTTTTGGATGTTGCGCTTGTCATTTCATAGGGCGTTATAATGCATGTTCTTCCACTGGTCCTTAGCCACAGCTGGATTTGGCTTGGCATTTTATATACACACCTTTGCCTGTCATTTTTTGGAGGCCTCTTGCCGCTCATCCTTTAGAGGCCAGCTCTCGAAATAATGACCAGCAAAGCCCCCAGCGGTCCACCCACGGGGGATTCTGCTATGACGTCCGTCCGTGCATGCTCCTGTATCAACCAACAAACACTGTATCAGAAATTTTTCTTTCACATGAAACATTCACCACCGAGTGAATCAACATTTCTGCGCAATAGTTTCCCAGCGACTTCTTCGCATATAAGCAGTCGCGACGTGTGACTGCCTAACATACACGCCTGCCCAAACCCGCCGAAGCCACCTGGTCTCCTCCATGCACATCATCCCGCCTGAGCATGCGGTTCACGCTTCGACGACGACTTGTCCTCTGTGACACACAGAGAAGTGCTTTCCAAATCATACATACTCCATGTGGTAATTCAGTAGCTATCCTATCTCTCCACTACCTACACAAACCCAGGTCTCTACCCTACGGTATACCAATGTGTGCGCGCACCACTCGTCCAGGTTTTCCATCATCAGCAGGTCACAACAAGTCAGCGCTGTACGTCGCAGGCTTTCTCAAGCCAAACAAACACACCGCAAACAGGTTCCGATCTCGGGTGCACCACGTAGATCTCTCCGCTATAGATTACTTCCTCTCTCACGCCAAAGTGAAGGCTGAGTGTCTCTAAAAAGAATGTCCCGCGCCATCCCGCGCGGCCGTCGGCGATGCCATTGGCGATGAGGCAGGGCCAATCAATCTGTTGTGGCATCGCTTTGGCGTGTGCGCAGACTCGTTTCAATGAGTCAAGCAACCGTCAGGGCAGACTTCAGCTGTCAAGGTGATGCACCCACAGGCCAAGTACGTGTCCAAAGCCTCTTCGCTGCCAATCGCGCTTCTGGTCCCCGTTGCTCTTCTTGTCGTCCTCGGTCGCCTTCCGCAAGCCTTCGAGTGCATCCACAACCCGTGCCCCAAGTAGCCCTTCTTCTTCACCATCACCTGCTGCTCCAGCGCGAGTGGCCCATCGTCATTGGCGTAGTTCCCAAAGAGCTGCCCGATGATGCCATCGCCCTGCATCAGAGGGTTGCTATAGAAGTGTATCTTTGAAGGCCGCGTCATACTTCCTCCATCGCTCCTCGCGTACAGTGCTGCAAACAGGGTGTTGCTATTGGATTGGCCTTCACCTTGCGTTTGATCTCAGCAGCCGGCTCAGGAGACGTCTTGGTGGGCTCCACGATGTTCTAGCACGCGGCTGCCCTGATCGACCTGTGGGCCTCGCCTTCCCGCAGATCTTCTTCAAACAGTAACATCGCCCTTCACCACCTGAATGGTCCCCTCATCATCCATCTCGAAGAGGATCTTGACGGTGTCAAAGGCCTCCTCTTGCGATTGGCCGGTAGCAACTGCCGCTCCTCATCGCTTCATCTGACAGTCTATCCCCAGCTGGCCAGGTTGGCCACACTTCACCCTTCACAAAGCCCGCAAACTCCTAGAGGTGAAGTTGATGCTCAGCACGGCGCCCGAGCTGGCGGCACAAGTGGATCTCTCCCACCTCCTCCGTCACACCACGAAACTTCACTCGATCGCTATCGAGGTAAAGCCGGACCACGCACCCAGCCTTTCTGAGCAGCACGTCATTCAGCTTCCTTCGGCTACCCCTGCCCTTCAAGCGATGCTGCAAATAGCCTGTCTCCATCGGCCATCCAGCGCATTGTCCTCAGCGTATGCAGCAGCATACTGAACCAAGCGCTCGAACACCGCGACCAAGGAACCAAAAGGGCGTGGAAAACTGTAGGCCAGTATCCCCAAGCCGCCCACGATGAAGATACACAATGGCAATTTCAATGTAGCCCCACCACTCACCGAAGGCATGCACGCCAATAATACCATGCATGAAGTAGCCGGCCAGCCGCCATCTCGCTGTAACATGCTAGGAACTCCAGGGCGGCCGAATCAGCTCTCGTACCGCTGATTGCTTCGCCGCCAAAACCCCCAGGCCATGATCTCCACGATGCAAAGAGCACGCCGAATCTATGCCACTGGCCACCTGCGTCGCCTTTTGGTGCTTCAAAGCTGCGAGCGAGCTAGATCCGGAAACCTACGTTTTCGAAGCTCAACTCACATGCAATTTCGTTGTGGTTTGGTGCTGGGTATGTGGGGCTCTGTTAGTATTGGATCACTAGTCACTACTGATGCCTGCGAGCGTGGGAATCCTCCGCTTCCTCGCTGCTATAGCAGAAGCCTCGGCTTGATCGGTCCTGCCTTCGACCCTTTCTGATTGCATGGCCCTTGTTGCGAGCAAGAGACCAGCCCCGTTTGCGTGACCTTCCCAAAACCGTGCGACTGCGCCTGCGCGAAACCAAGAGTTGCGCGTACCAAAATTGCGTGAGTGTTTTTAGTTCCCCAGATAGCTCCAAGCTATAGTTTATACTTATTAGTGGCTCTTACTTCTCAATGGTGTGGCTCTGGATCTGCGTTTCTTTTGCCCCTGCTGGTGCTGGTGCTGCATCGGCGTTTGCTTGGGGCGCCCTGTCGCTGGTGCGGAATCGGCATTTTCTTGGGGCGTGCAGGTGCGGGCGCTGCTGAGTGCACGCCAGGGATGACATCATGTCGGAACGACGTCATGTCATGCCGGGGGTGACATCAGGATGACACCGAGCGCGTCATATTGCGTCCGGCAAACTGACGACTGCATTGTGCGGTATGCATAGTTTCCTTTCATGGATGACATGGCGTCATGCCAGGGATGACACGCTGTCATATTGCGCATGACAACATGTTGTTTCCCTATTAGCTTTTCCGTATACACCCGCTATCTGGATTCCATCCCGGTGTAGTTTTTAGGTCACGCCATATCATTCCTCTGTGGGTCTCCTGCTTTGCTGCATCTGCTGCTGGTTGATGGTGTTGCCTGTGTTGGGTCCATTTGGTGTCGCACAAGCCAAAATAGCTATTTTTGAGCTCGCTGCACGTCATTCCGCCCTGCTTTGCTTCTGCTTTGCTGCTCCTGCTGGCGCTGGTTTCCTGCTTTGCTGCACCCGCTGGTGCTGGTTTGCTTGTGCTGCTTTTGCTGCTTTTGCTGCTGCTGCTGCGGCGGCGGCGGCGGCTGCGGCTGCGGCTGCGTTTGCTTCTGCTTCTGCTTCTGCTTCTGCTTTGCTGCTCTCGCTGGTGCTGGTTTGCTGCTGGTGGTGCTGTTGCTGTTGCTGCTGCTGCTTTGCTGCTTGCTGCTTGCGTAAACAAGCATAGCTGCAAAGCAGCCTTGTTTGCTGCTCTGTTTGTAAACACTTGTCGGCTACGTGCGCCCCCCTTGCTTATCCAAAAGCCCCTCCGTTGTATAAAAATTCGCCTGTCCACTACATGGGGATCATCCTTCTACGGCATTTATACTGATCAATTTTGTGCAATTAGTCGCGCATCCCTTCTCACGTGTTTTGTGTGCGTTTTCAAGATCATGATCTTTCGTCAGTGGTGGTTTTCACTTAGAGTCAGGGCATGCCACTGCAGGTGCTTCACAGTGGCCTCCCAAACCGCCAAAGGTCGGAGAAATGTCTGAAAGAAACCTGCATAATTTTGGAAGGGTAAGCGCGCAATTGTTTCAAAAAAATTATCCCTCAAAAGAACGGACTAGCATTGTAACGGCATCCTTCTGATAGATGCTCATTTGCTGCACCATTTCGCATGCATTTTAGGGTTCTGGACTTTGCTGGGTCCCTCCCGCTCCCCGTCACAAGCCTCAGCCTTCGGCAAGGAGTCGCCTGCCGCATCGGCGCAATCGTCTGAGACAGCACTCGACGGCATGGTCTTAGTGGCAGAATTGAATGCAGGGGTGACGGAGAGGAATCAGGAACCCGAGAGAATCAAACATAAGGAGACGAAAAGGGATAAATTGATTGGGTGCCTTGTTCTGTTTCAATGTTCCTGGGGACATCGTTGCGGGAACCCTACTATCGTCCATGTTTCGTGTTCTCGCCTCTCCCACCTGCAGCTCGTGGCAGGCTGGGAGCAAGTGCAGCTGTTGCGGGTCGGATCGCCCTCCTCAGACTGATGCGGCGGACTCAGACGCAAGGGATGGCCCTGGTGAAGCGTGGTTGCTTTGCGATATGACCAAGCCCAGGCCGAGGCAGAGAAAGGTGCTGTATCCATGGAGGACGCTGCCTGTTGCTGATAATCCAACTATATAATTACCTCGTCCTTCAACTCGGATTTCTTAGTCATTACTGTAGTGTAGTCTTTTACGCAGACTGTGGGAATGAGCCAGCCAACTGACAAACTAGTACTGTAACCATTCAAGCTTCGGGCAGGATGCGCTGCAGCTTCAAAAGGCCCTGGATGTGCAAAGGCGACTGGAAGAGGAGCTGCTGGCGGCGCACGGAAGGATCCAAAACTTGGAGGCACGAACCGGGGCTGCAAAAGAAATGTTGTTCTACTTCAACATGTTCCTTAATTATTTGGTTGACTGTAGTTTGTGTACAGTAATATACCTCCGTACCTTGAACATGGCGTCTTTGCTGTTTGTCTTTGTTTGCACCTACCCTGTTGATCCTTGCATGCTGGTGTTCTGTCACCGGGAAATCGACCCCCCAGCCAGGTTCAGCAGACCAAGCTTAGTGGCGAGCAAGCGATGATGCAGAATCTTCAATCTGAAAACACTGAGCTGCAGAGACGTTTGGAGGTTGGGTTGCATTTGAGTATGACTTGCAGCTGAAACAAAACAAGTATGTGACTGCGCTGTGTTTGCGTCTTACACACTCATGGTCACATGAACGTTGCAGCCTACAAAAATGTCATACATAGATATATATATATATACCCATCCACTTTGTTTGTTTACATACATCTGAATGATTTTGAATGCACATTTTTGCACCCTGACGCGGAGTGGTTGGATATTACAAATTACAGCACCGCTTCAGGTCTTCTACAAAGCGATGGAGTTTGAGGCCGACGAGCGAGATGCCCATCCAACAGAGCAACAGGTGCTTGAATCTGCCCCGTGGAAACAGTAGGAAACAATACGCAGTAAATTTGGCTTTATGAAGCCAATCTTACTTTGCACAGTGTTGGCACCAGGATTTGACGCCCAAGGGCGTTGTACCACCGTCACCGGAAATTGAAGCAGTGGCATCCATTCGGCAGAAGATTGTGGAGGGCTGAGTGTTATGCCGGGGTCCTGAAGCCTCCTGGAATCTCATGCAACCTGCTGAGTGAGCCGTTGTGGAAGCAGGCAGTGGTTGCATGTTCCACTTGCCAGGAGGATCACGGTCATGCTGCAGGCAGCGTGGTTTTCGTATGGCTAAGGAGAAGTTTCACTCTCAATTGGTCCTCGAAGCAGTGACCTTGCGAAATGCCAGATCCTTAAGAAACCAAAAACATACTCGTCAATTGTGGAATTTTCAAACTTCCAGTGAACTGAACACTGTCTTCCAGAGTCGCCTGCTCCAACGGTTTTAATTCACATCGGACGAGTCGCATGTTTCTCGTGCTATGCTTCCATCAGGAGGTAGCTCGGCTCAAAAAGAAGAAGTGGATCATCAAGGCGAGGGATATGAAGCCGGATTGAAGGGAGCTGTTTTCCATGCAGCACTTCGTGAACTTGCACTGGAAGTCTGGGACACGAGATCATGAAATGATCGGACATGACGGGACGAATCTACATGATTGGGCAGCTCCTCGTGGCAGGCTGTGTTGGACAACGGCGGGGAACACGAGCGGCAGGCTATTGTAGAAGAGGTCGCGCAGCTCCGTTCCAAGCGTGAGTTTGATGGCTCAACTGCCACTTGATGCCGTGACAAAAAGGATCCAGAAGCTTTCAGCCAAGGTTCTTTGGTTCGTTCAAGAGGTTGAAGATTGTTGAAGCGTTTTGCAGAATCCGCATGCTGAAGAGCAGACTTGCCCTTGTAAAAGCATTGAAGCCACATAGTCCCAAACAAAGCAAAACGCCTTTTATGCTGGCTTTGGTCCGCGAGTGTTGGGGAGGGCTGGTGGCAGCACATATGCATTTGGCACTGGGGAGCGATGGCCTCCAACCTATATAAGAGCAATGGCCTCCAACCTGCTGAGCTCCAACCTATGTCAAAAATATAAAGAATCCAGAGGCATCCCGGATGACTTCCAGCTGGAGCCACTGTGGCCAACCCATAAAAGCATGCTTCTCATGAGTTTTGTTTGCAGTCAATGAGAGACCAATGAAGGGCTGACCTTGGAATTGTTTGCAACGCTTCCATTTCTGTTCCAGAGGTAAGCAAAGGCCTCCAACCTAGAAGCGATGGCCTTCACCCTGAAAGCGATGGCCTCCAACCTAAGAGCGATGGCCTGCAACCTAGAACCGATGGCCTTCACTCAACCTACAAGAGATGGCCTTCAGCCTAGAAGCGATGGCCTTCCTAAGCGATGGTCTCCAACCTAGAAGCGATGACCTCCAACCTAAGAGCCCTCCAAACTGAGAGCAACGGCCTCCAACCTAGAAGCGATGACCTCCAACCTAGAAGCGATGGCCTCCAACCTAAGAGGGATGGCCTCCAACCTACTAACAATGGCCTCCAACCTACAAGCTTACAAGCCATGGCGTCCAACCTAAGAGCGATGGCCTCCAACCAAAGAGCGATGGCCTCCAATAGAAGAGCGATGGCCTCCAACCTAGGAGCGATGGCCTCCAACCTAAGAGCGATGGCCTCCAACCTAAGCGTTTGCCTCGAACCTAAGAGCGATGGCCTCCAACCTAGGAGCCATGGCCTCCATCCTAGAGGCAATGGCCTCCCCTAGAAGCGATGGCCTCCAAACCTAAGAGCGATGGCCTCCAATAGAAGAGCGATGGCCTCCAAGCATTGAACCTAGAAGCGATGGCCTTCAACCTAGAAGCGATGGCCTTCAACCTAGAAGCGATGGCCTTCCTAAGCGACAGCCTCCAACCTAGAAGCGATGACCTCCAACCTAAGAGCGATGGCCTCCAAACTAAGAGGGATGGCCTCCAACCTACTAGCATTGGCCTCCAACCTACAAGCCATGGCTTAGAAGCGATGGCCTCCAGCCTAAGAGCGATGGCCTCCAACCAAAGAGCGATGGCCTCCAATGGAAGAGCAATGGCCTCCAACCTAGGAGCGATGGCCTCCAACCTAAGAGCGATGGCCTCCAACCTAAGCGTTTGCCTCGAACCTAAAGGCGATGGCCTCCAACCTAAGAGCGATGGCCTCCAACCTAAGAGCATTTGCCTCGAACCTAAGAGCGATGGCCTCCAACCTAGAAGCGATGGCCTCCAACCTAAGAGCGATGGCCTCCAACCTAAGAGCGGTGGCCACCAACCTAGAAG